CCCTGAATTGCAGAGCTATGACATCACACCAACATGATTGGCGAGTTGAAATTATGAGTGATAACAGTGTCCGATTCAAAACTACGACTATAATTTGCGGTGGAGTGCCCTTTATGTTTTTTCCACCACAGCAAAAATACACAGAGTAAAAAGCCACTTTTTACTCTGTGTCTTTAAGCCCACACACACACCCCTCACTGATGGATGCATATAGGAAAGTTTGGAGTTTAGTATCTTACCCGGCAACACTTAGACTGCAGAAGCACCCACCGTTCAATTAGCAGATAACCCATTTCACCTTATGAGCGATGATGTGGTACAGTACACATGTGGCAAGCATGAACTAAAAGCTTGAGTTACAGCAGAACTTGTGTCTATTACATTTATTATCCTTGATTACAGTTATTTCCCTTGTTTCTCATCATTCTCATATTTAAAGAAGCTCGATTTCACTGGGAATATCTGATTAAATAAAAACTAAATAGAAATGGAAAACAGAGGCCGCCTCGCTCCATGCAGCGTAATATGAATATAATAATCAAAGAGATGAAGCCCACTGCCTGGCAGATAAGCATTTCTGGCAGCAGGTTGCCAATCACTGAAGAGACAATACACAGAGAGTCCCACATCAACATCTCAATCCAGCCTGATTTGCCTTCCAGAGCATCTGAGCTCGATGGCTCACACCTGCTGCCCCTTATTATTACCCAGCAGGCTGAAGACTGACACAGCTACCACACGAAGCACCGAGGAAGAGCGCTCCGTAGCACGAAAGTCCTGTGATACAGGTCGTCCGTTCTGCTTTTGCTTCAGATGTGATCATTTATTGAAGGAAAATCGGTGAATAACAAAGCCACAGCTGTGTAAATTCCACCACTGCAACGGTCGTTTGATTTCAAACTAATTAGTATTCCTTTAAGTGGGGCTTTGCCGCCCTCTTGTCATTAAAACGGATTTAAGCCAGGCCTCTCAGAGGATGCGCCGGAGGATGACGGAGTAATTTCTGCATGTCAGTCATCGTGGTGTCAGCGCGAAGAACGCGTCTCGAGGCGAACTCAGCCTTCAGTTGCAGCTGAGCAGCTGCTAAACCTGTTAAAGTCTGGCTTGTTTGGCTGCGCGTGTAAACTGAGTTGTGCGCTCTGAACTGCGGCTGAGTTGGGGCTTGACACGGCGCAGTTTGGGGGTCTCAGCGGTGCCGAGGCATTGTGTATTGTGTCGGGAGAGTGTTGTGTGTTTTTTCCCAGTGTGCCGCAAAGGGTCGCTCCGTGTCAGAGGTGAGCCTAGTGAATGGAGGCTGTGGGACCCCCGCCACAGTTGGGAGGAGACTCTCCCCCCCTATTGAGAGCACTGAGGCAGAATGCTGTAGGCACAACAAGAAGGGGACTAAAGGCTTTGTCTCTGGTTCACTGCCTTCAAGTAGGCTCGGGATTCCTGGCAACCAGGTTTAACTGCTGGAGCCTGCGTGCAGAGGGGAGAAGGCACAAAGGCGCTTGTTTTCCTCAGCTGATGTGCAACATCGTGGCCTGCTGTGGGAAACAAAGATCAGACATGAGGTCTGGACTGATTGAATTTCTTACATTAGCATTTTCTGTTATGATAAAACTTTTCCCACTGTTGAATTATTCCGAGCAAACCGCAAATTAGCTATTAATTTTTTTTGGCCGAGTTTTAATGTAGAAAAATTTAAAAGTCCACTGTGATGATCCAATTATCCTGCAAACCCAGGATTAGCATTAATCTGCTCTGGTTATTAGCGGGCACATGGCCTCTCCCCACAGCGTTTCCTCCGTTTTCCAGCCTTCTTCATCCTTTCTCTTTCAGCACGTACTCAAGCCTAGCGCTTTTGGGTATACGTCCTCCTTTTATAAAAATATAGCTTCACTTTTCACGTTCTCTGGGTCAAAGTCGGGTTGTGTGTATATACCACCGTTATCCCCCTGGAGGTGTTTTAATATTGCTGCTACTTCTGATGTGTCGGACTACAGTTAAGTCTGCAAACTGTGCTATGAATTGGAATGAGACTGCTATAGCTGGGGGCAGGCACAGCAACCACCTACGTGTTTATCAGAAAATTAATCCTCAGACGGGGACTTGCACGTGTGTCAGATGTGAAGAAGAGTGAAGAAGGGATGCTGGAGATTCATGACATGCCTAATGACCTGCAAACTACATACTGATGTGAGAAAGTAGCTTCATTCTAGGTAGAAATGAGCATGTGTGTGTGTGTGTGTGTGTGTGTGCAAACGCAGCAGAGAAGCAGGAGGAGGAGACCTGTGAAATGAGAAGACCCTCAGGCTCAGATTCTATCAAAGCTCTCAACACATCCGGAAATCACAGACCAAAAAATTCCACATGACGTGGTGATTGAGAGCAGAACGGCAGCTCTGTGTAAACCCCGATAAAGTGTACTGACCCAGGCTGCGGATTACATGCAAGAAACCTCAGCTGTTAATAAAGTTTAGCGAGCCGCCGCTTGTTTTGGATTTGCTCCCAGTGTCGATCCTCCAGTAAATTTCCTGTAAGATTTCGCCTATAGCGATAAACCACAGATCTAATTTGTACACCCAGCCGTGACCTTCTTGGACAGCGTAGATCTGCGTGCAAGTCACACTGGGTCTGGTGACATGTTCTTTTGAGGGTCTGTGCTCATCTCTCATCAGCACTCAGACACTTTAAGTGGCTCAGCCACACTTAATTAGCCTCTTCTTCGCGACTCGCTGCAGCTTTTTTGCTCAAATTAATCTTCTCAGGTTAGCGCCTGGCACCCACTCCACTGTCTCTGACGGGAGGTCAAATTTATCCTCTGCTAAGAAATTACTTAGCTAAACGAGGGCTTCTTCATGCAGCCACGGATAATAACCTTGATTAATTAAAGAGAGACTCTTCCTAATTAAGGTCTTACTCTGCGCGGTCCAACTGTGACCCTGTAAAACAAGCTGAAGGC